GGCGTCGTCTGTGTACCCCTGAGCTCCGCTCTGTTCCCTCTCCCCCTTCCATCCTGCTTGCTTCCCTCTCCCCCGCTCTTATTCCCCTTATCCCGTGCAGGCCTCACTCCCCGTCCTCCTGTTTGGACGCAGCACTAGCCGCCATCCCTTTGATCCCCCCACCCCCAGGTTGTGGGAGAGTCAGGCAAAGCTGACCTTATCCTTCCCTGGAACCCCCCCACCAGTGGTTCCCGTCCTGCCCAGGAAAATGCTCCGACTCCTTAGGCCCCTCACACTGTGGTCCCCTGGCCCATGATGACCCCCCCCCATGCCTTCCTTCTTTTCTCTGATGGGGAGGGGGCGCCCCATCTCTGTGAAGACTTAGAAGACTCCATCTCTTGCGCCTCACTCTGCCGTGGCCTCTGTCACCCTCCAGCCAGCCCTTGAGGCTGCCTTCCCCCTTGATGGCAGCTCCAGGGATCAGGGACCATGTCTAGTTCTTCTACCTGCCAGGTACCCAGCCCAGCGCTTGGCATGGGGCTGGCGCTCCGTTAGAACACTCTGTCTAGAGAGCGATGGAAGGGCAGGTTCCCACCTTGGCTCAGGGCTTCCTCCAACCACTGATGACAGTTGCCAAGCAGCACGGGGTCTGTCTTTGTCCCTTTTACGAGGCAGTGACTATATGGCAGCCTCTGGCCCTCCAGAGGGAATCTAGCCAGGGGCTGGGGCACAGACTGGGGAGTGGCTAGACCCTGCTCACAGAGGTAGTAAGTGCTGGGGCAGAGAAGGGGGCTGGATTCCCCAGAGGAGGCAGGCCTGGGCCTCAGCAGGTATGGAGTGGGCAGGGGGGAATTGGGGCTTGGCAGAGTGCACTGTACGAGCAAAAGTGGGGGGCTGGGGGGGCCGGGCAGAATTGTGGGAGGCTGGGAATGTGCCCCAAGGCCCCCAGCTCCTTGCCCGGTGGGTGACCACAGGGAACAGTGGGCTTGGCAGTGACTGGCACCGAGGGGCGCCGGCCTCCACTCCACCAAGGTCACAGGCCCTGGTGCTGAGGCTCAGAGCCAGTTAATCAAGTCCAGTGAAGCGTGGCGCAGGCACGGACATGGGCAGGGGGACGCGGCAGGGCTGGGCCACCTCGCCCCATGATGGGGGCAGACAGGCCAACTCTGAGAGAGCAGGACCAGGGCACCCCCGTGCCCCTCACAGTGCTCACCCTGGCACCCCCACCCTAGCTGAGAAAATCCTCATGGCCCAGCTCACTCAGCCCCTCACAAGGACAAAGACCCTTGCTTTGTTTGGATCCCGTGGGCGGGGCCAGGCCATGAGCCCTGGCTTGGACTCACGGTCCAGTGCTTGCCGATCACCCATCACCCACACCCTCATCAAGACGTCGGGAACCCTTCCAGATGAAGGGAACAGGCAGGGGCTAAGAAAATGGGCCTTGACATCCGGCTGTCCTGGGCTGAAGCCCCATTTCCCCCACTCCTGTGTCACTCCATGAGCCTCAGTTTCCTCATCTGAAAAATGGGCTAATGTCCAGTTGAGATTTATAGCCTCAAGCCAAACAGGGGGACCCAGGGTACGGGCAGTGGAAGGGGGACCCCCGGGTAGGGGCAGTGGAAGGGGAAGAAGTTGGAGCGTCAAGCCCAGCATCCAAGGTTAGGCCAGGCAGGGGGCGTGGAAAGGGGCCAACCAAGAGCTGCAGCCTCTGGGGCCCTTGGCCAGGCCACCTGGGGAGCAGGAAGGCCCAGAGCCACCCTGCTGCAGGGGAAGGACTGCCTGTTGGTATCTTTTGGCACCAACGCCCCCTTTTTGGTTGTTCTCCCCCACCAGCCTATAGTCCATTCCCCTCGGGCAGCCTGGCCCAGCTGTGGGGGTCTCGGGACAGCATTATGGGGGCACTGTGTGGCCAAGCATCGAGACCCCTGGGGAGGGGGCCAGAGCAGGGGGCCCAAGGGAAACACACCACCAGGGCGGCCACCCTTCCCCCCGGAGTCCCTACCCATGGGACCACTGGGCGTGGTGGGTGGGGGAGAAGGGACACTGAGGACCAGTTTCCCAGAATGCCTGCTGAGTGCTGGGGCAGGCCCATGGCCAGATCCTCTGTGTACCCAAGTGAGAGCCCTGAGCTGGGCTGCACCTGGCTTTTCTCACCTGAGGCAGACACCTGGCCTGCCCTTCCGTGCTCCACCTGGTGGGACCCTTCCTCCGCCCCAGGCCCACCTCCCTCCTCTACCGCTCCATGTTGCTAGGCGCGTGGCAGGGGCCGATTATCCAATAGGCAAGGTAAGCACGGTGCTTACCTTGCTTACCAGATCATCTGTAGTGAACAGTTTCACATTTTTTCACCACGTCAAAGACTCTGCTTCCAGATATGGCTGGCATCTGTCTCTCTCCCAACCCCACGGCACCTTCCTACAGAATCAAAGCCTCTTTTCAAATTTACAATCCTGACGGGGGAGATGACCCAATAAGCAAGGTAAGCATGGGTTTACTTGTGCTTACTTACTAATCTGTAGTGAACAATTCACTACAGATTATAAATTTGAAAGTAAGCACAAGCAAGCCCGTGTTTATCTTGCTTACTGGGTCATCGGCCCCTGGCAGGTGGGCATCTCGGACCAGCTACACCCCAGTCCCCTTGCTCAGGCAGGGCCACCCATGGTGGGATTTGGGGTGCCAGGCAGGCGGGGGTTGGCGTCTCCCTCTGACAGGGGCCTGCAGAGCGGCAGGTCAGCGCCCCCTCCCCTCCCACCCCTCCAAGGCACGCTGCCAACCCATTTGGCATCATGCCCTTTTTGAGCTGGAGCCAGCTCGTTTGCGCCGGTGTTAATTAAGAGAGAGAGGTGATTGGGGGAGGTAGGGGGCCGTGGAGGGCAGCTTCCGACAGCCGCCAGGACTGCCCCATGGGCTGAAGGGGCTGGAGCTGGACCCGGGCCAACCCAAGAGGCCCTGTGTGCCTCACGGGCTCAGGGGCAGGCTGCCCAGATGCCCAGCTCGTGCCTCTGGAAACTCCACGTGCAGGCACACACGTGTCAGCCAGACCTGCTTCGGGGTGGGGGTGAAGACTGCCTCTGAGAGGGCCTGGTTTGGTGGGAGGCCCCAGCCCAGGGGGCAGCCTCCCCTGATAGTCCTTCAGGCCGTCTGCCTTGAGGACTGCCTGCTTCATGACCTGGCTTTGGAGTCATGCAGATCTGATTCCAATCCTGCTGCCTCCACTGCTCGACTCAACCTCTCGAACCTCGGTTTCCTCATCTGTGAAATGGGAACAAGGCACCTCCCTCGTAGAGCTGTTATGATAACAAGTAGGCTCATTGGTGTGAAGCACTCAGTTGGTGTCTGGCAAACAGCCCTCGCCAGCCAGCGGAAACATGTGTTCCTGGGGCAGAGGCCACATCCAGCACCTTCAGAGGCCAGGCCACCCGTGGCCTCATAAACCTTGTGCCCCCCATGGCGCCCCCCTGCTTTGCCCCAGCTGGGCTCAGCCCTGCCGCCTCCCATGCACTCCCCGCAGCCCCCAGCCCTGCTCTGGGAGCCCAGCCTCTCCTTGCCTCTCCATCTTAATCAGCTGCTTGTATTAATCTCGCAAGTAACATGGCAACTTGCAGCCCTGGGTTTTTGGGCTGTGGGATTAATTATTCCCCAAGTGAAGAGCTGTCAGCTCTGGGAGAGCAGTCACTCGGCACCGCCCCGACACCACTTAGCACTGTCCGCAGCTTCTGCACAACACCCAGGCCTACAGTCCAGTGACCCAGAAGTGACCCCGCCAGCCCAAGCTCTGCCACCCTCTTCAGACAACAGGACCCAGGAAGGTGGGGTGGGTAACAGAGCTGTGTGAGGAGCTGAAGTCCTGGCCTGGGAGCCAGGACTCCTGGGGACATGGGGCTGAGGAACCGGGCTCCCCACCTGGGCAGCACCTGGGCCTGGGGCCAGTCCCTGCCTTGTCTCACCTACCACTTCCCTCTGATTAGCGCCAACAGTTAGCACGGGGGGAGCCTGCGTGGCCAGACCTGGGGCCCAGGCTGGGGAGGGGGCCCAGGAGGGGGTAAGGGGAGCGGGCGGGTGGAGGCTGCCAGCCTCACTTTGCCCCCACGTCAGCACGCACATGGACGCAGAGGGGGCAGCCGGCCAGGCCGAGCGAGATGGACAGTGCTGCTCAGGAAAGCGACAGCCACTGTGGCTGCCAATCCAGCTCTGCCTGGTGATGCCACCTTCCGTCTGGGGAGGGGACAGGGGGCTGAGCCCCCCTGCAGCCCAAAGCAGAGGGTTCCTCTCCTTCAGCTGCACACTAACACTGCGAGGCGGCGCTCTGTTCTCCCTGTTTTACACATGGAGAAACTGAGGCACCAAGCGAGATGGCCCGAGTCAGCCATCTGTTGAAGGTGGCTTGGTCTGGTTCCAGTTCTGTGCTCTCAGCCATACACTGTGCTGCCTGGGGTGGGAGGACCCTTATACCCACACCGCGTCGCCCTCATCCAGGCGCCCCCAACCCTGGTTCAAGTTCTCGTACCCCTGCGTGCTCGGTCCCTGGGTACTGGGTCCCTGCTCTCACTAGGGTGCAGTGCGGCACTTTGCTTCCCGGTGGCTTCTACTCTGTGTCCAAGATAGCCTACAAGCCCCCAGGGCAGGGACCAGGGCTGCCCCACCCTGGCCTCAGCTCTGCCCCAGGCACTGTGGGCAGAACGAAGAAAGGACAAGGATGGCCACTGCCACCTCAGGTCCCACATGCAGCTGCTCCGGGCTGAGTAGGCAGAGCCCTGGTGGCTGCCTGCCCCCAGGCCACCCCCCAACCCCAGGCCCACTAGGAGCCACCGTGGAGAGGTACTCCAGCCCTTCCTTCATCTCCCATTGTGAGCCCCAGAGGACCCGGGAACCCTGCACCCAGAGTCTGAAGGCCTGGGGTCCTGAGCCTGTCACTCTGGGGCCAACCCCCACTGAGGCTGACACCCCCATGTCCTCTTTCCTGTCCCCCCACCAGTCCCCTCCTGACTAACCTGCCTCTGTCTTTCTGTCTCTTGCAGCCAACAGTTCCTTGCTTGGAGGCGGCGGTGGTGAGTGGATCCTCCTTGCTGTCTGGGGGTGAGGGGTGGGTGTGGGGGTCTGGTGGCCTCTCTCCTTCCACGCCCACTTCTCTCCTCCCACCCTCCTGGCGTCCATGCCCACGCCCTGCCTGTCCCCCTCTCGCCATCCTCCCCATCATCCCCGCAGCCCCCTTGGCGTCTCCGCCTCTACCTCCCACTCTCGCTCTTGCCCTGTCCATTGTCACTTTAGAAAAAGACGGTGACCTGGATGGCAGGCCTGCCTCCCTCACAGGGGTGACCAGGCAGCTTTTTTCCTGGTCTGTAACTAGGCTGGGGGTTGGGGCTCCTGGGAGGTTTAAATGGGGCTGGGCCTGGAGCTGAGAGGCTGCAGGTGCGGTAGAAAAGCCCAGCGCAGCCCTGCCCCTGACGCCCATGTGACCTTGGAAGCCCTGTGCGCCTCTGACCTCGGTTTCCCCATCTGCAAGGGCAAAATCATCATCTCTGTCCTGCTCAGCTCCCTCGCAGGGCGGGAGAGCTCAGAACTGGTAAACGTTTGCCCAGGAACAGCTGTGCATTCACTATTGCTAACGACCACCTTGAGGCAGGGGTCCCAGAAAGACCAGGCTGGCAAGAGGTCGGAGGTCAGGTGGGACCGGCCCCCCAGGATGCAGGCAGAGGTCAGCGGTGCCAAAGTGCAGAGGGGGTAGCCTATGTCCCATGCCCTCCTCCCCTGGCCAGCCCGGCCCAGGGCACCAGGCCCCTGCCGCCCCCAGCCCTGGGCCCCTAGCTAGCCAGGCTGCCCGATGTCTGTGCAGCAGCAGGATGATTGGTGAGCCAGGGGCCAGAGGTTAATGCGCCGTCGGATAAATCTCGGGGGCCGTGTTTACAGCAGCAGTGGCGGGGCCCAGGCCAGGTTTTAAAAGGGGGAATAATAAAAGGGGCAGCAAAGGTCAGAAATAAATAAAAGAGTGGCGTTAAGAGCTGTCGGTGACCAGCCAGGATGTGGACGGGGCCTGTTTGTGGCTGGAGATGTTTTCCCTCCTGCCACTCTCCTCCAGCCATCCCGTGGAGATCACGGCTACCCGGGGGCCTCACAGATGAGGAGGGGCCTGCGAACCTACAGACAGGCCCTCCAGGACCCCTCTTTCTCAAAGCCCATCCTTTCAGGGGACTTGGAGGCCCTGGTGGACTTGACCCCTGCTATGCTCTGCCCCCAACCTCCCTGTTTCCTCTGTCCACTCATCCATCAATCAATGACTGAGTGCCCACTTACGGGCCATTACACACAGAGTAGTATGTGCTATGATGCGGGACACACGAGCAACTCCCCAGACTTAGGCGTCGGGAAGGAGGCTCCTGGAAGGAGGTGGTCTCCACTGGGACCGAAGGAATGGGCAGGAATGAGGCCAGTGAGGAGCGAGGGAAGGGTGTCCCGGGCAGAGGGAACAGCACGGAGAAGGCCTGCGGTGAGAACATGGGCACGGGGAGGCTCAAAGCATGGAGTGGTCGGAGCGCAGCCAGGAGAAGGATGGCAGGAGACGAGCTGGAGGGTCAGCGGGAGCCTCCGAGACAGGCGAGGGGCTGGACTTTTAGCCATTCGGTGCCGCCAGAAGACCAAGGATCACCAAAATGGGTGGGCCTTTTAAAACTCAAGTCAAGTTATCACCCTTCTTCAGCTGAAGACTCCGCCAGGGCTCCCACTTCACTCAGAGCCAAGACCAAGGTCTTCACCGTGGCCCACAAGGTTCCCAGGTACCTCCCAGACTCACCTCTATAAGCACCCCACCCCCACCCCAACACACACATACTCTGTGCTCCAGCCACACTGATCTCCCTGCAGTTCCTGGAAAGGCCAGGCCTGTCCTGCCTCAGGGCCTTTGCACAGGCTGTTTCCTCTGCCTGGAATGCCCCTCCTCTAGACAGCTATGTGACTACATCCTTCACCTCTTACCAGGCTTGGCTTTAATGCACCCTCTCCCTTAGGCCCACCCTGACACCGTTGAAATTGCAATGCCTACCCCGCCCACCCTGGCCTCCCGATGCCCCTCTCCTAACATGCCATATAATTTACTTGTTACGTTCATTGTTTATCGTCTGTCTTCCTTGCCTTGTAAGGGCAAGACTGTACCCCCAGCCCCTGGCACTGGGTCTGGCATATACAGTAGGTGCTCAATAAATATTTGTTGAATGAACTACAGGTAAAAATGGGGACAGCCTCTGAGGACCGCAAGAGCCACTGAGGTTTTAGGCAGGACGAGCGGCTTCATAGATGGCCCGGTTACCTCACTCTGGGAGGTCAGAGGGCACCTGCTCTCGCCAAACTGGGAGGGGGGCACAGTGGGGGTCCCTCTGCTCCCCTGCCTGCAGTGTTGGGGGCGGGGAGGAGGCTGGAGTGCCCCACCCCACCTGCCTGACTGACGGGGAGACAGACGGGGGAGCCGGGACTGTGGAGGAAGTGGGCCTGGAGTCCAGCCTTTTAACACGGCCGAGATTTATGAAGCTGCCACAAGTGCTCGCTGGGGCTGTCACTCCGCTAATGTGATTGGAACAAGGTGGGGGGAGGGGACCATGGTGGGAACGATGCTGGGGATGGCAGGGGCTGGCGCCTCCTGGGGCTGGAATGGGGACACGGCCCAGACCCCCGGATGTCCTCTACACTCACATCTGCCATCTCTGCCCTCCATCGTCCCCTGTCCCTCCGGAGCACTGACCTGCCTGAGCGGGAGGCACCAGGTCCCCACCTGACTCTGCCCAGGCAGACCCTCTTCTTTGCATGGAACCCGCTGAGGCCCTCCCTCTTCTCCTGGCAGAGGTTCAGGCCTCTACTCACCCACCCACCCACCGATCAGTCACCATCTATCCACCCACCTGTTGGCCCACCCACCCATCTATCTGCACACCCATCCATCCATCCAACCATCCACCTACTCACCCTCCCATGACCACCCACCTGCCCATCCTACCCATCTCTCTGATCACCCACCCACCCATCCATATACTAACAAGCTCGAATCCCACTCAGCCTGCCCTGATCACTCTGTTTAAAACTGCAGCAGCCCAGGGCACTTACACAAATACTTGTATTTTATATTCGGTGTTTGTCGCCTGTCTCCCCTGCTAGAATGGGCTCTCCCTGAGAGCAGGGTTCTAGGGGATTCTGAGCCCCTGAAGCCGAGGTCGGTGGTAAATAATGAGCATTTGTGGCACTGATATGTTGCACCCTCTGGGGACCCAGCTCTGACAGCCCTGCCCTCGGGCTTACCGTATAGTCTGGTGGGGGAGGCAGCAGGCAGCCCCACGTGGGTTTGGGTGGCAGAGGAGGGGCTGGGGCAGCTGGGGACTAAGCAGGGGCCAGGGCCTGGCCTGCAGGGCTGTGTGTAGTGAGCCACTGCTTTCACTATGAATGTGTGGATCAGGGTGGAAGTGGGAGGGCTTTGCCCCCGGGGAGCAGGGAAGGGAGTCTCCCTGGCACCCCTCTCTCAACCAAGAGCCCCCAGGGGACTGAAGGAGCTTACCTGGGAGGGTCCAGGACCCCTGGGCCTGCCTTGCTCCACAGCTGGGCCCCCGCCAGTTCCTGAGGCCAAGCTAGAGGTGCTGGCCAGTGAGTCTTAGGGAAGCCTCCACCTTCCTTCCCTGGGCTCTCTCTGCATGGGGGTCCTGTGCCAGGTGCGAGGACTCAGGACTCAGCTTTGCTCTTAAAGAGACCTGTTTGGTAGGAGGCTTCCCAGCAGAGGCGGCAATTGACTTGGGCCTTGAAGGCTGAATAGGAGTTTTCCAGGTACAGAAGGAGCAAGAGATCCACCAGGTAGAGGGCCCAGTGTCTGTGGTGGGGAGGTGTGATCGGGCCAGGGCAGCCACCCAGCCTTCCTGCAACCCGATGGCCAGGGATGGCCAGGCCCACCCCTGCTCTCAGCCTCTCTCCTGGAGAGCCTTTTACAGGCTCAATAAAATTTTTTTAAAAAACACTCTCCTATTGTATGGTAAGAAGGGAGGCGGGCCCTAAATCAGGATGGGAATCGACAGGGCCCCAGTGCGTCTCTCCTGTTTATTAGGACTGAAATGTTTACTCAGCGTTAAGGAGCCGGCTTTCTTGCGGAGATTTGTGCGCTCTTTTTCAATTACCCCTCGTCTTTCTCTGCCACTTTTGCACTAAAGGGATAATAAATGTATCGGAGCATTTCAATTATTCATCTAAATCATGACTGCGCCTGCCACGGCCAGGCTTTAGTGACAGATTAATTCAGGGCCGCCTTCCTCCACCTGCATGGCTGCCATCTCCACTCCGGCCTGGCCAGCGCCCCCCAGGACCGGCTCAAGGGATGGGTGGGATGGGTCAGGCTGGGCCTGGCAGGCGGGCAGGGCAGGACAGAGCCCTCCTTCCCCAGCACACGCACACTCACTGCCAAGGACACCCCACGCCAGCACCCTGCCTGGGCCGTCTGGAGGTCAGCGAGCCCCCACCCCACCTTCATGCCTGTGAGGGTGTAGCGCTGTACCTCCTGCCCATTCGACTTCTGCGCGTCTCCTGCTTCCTACACCCACTTTGCGAGTCCGTGTGCATCCCACACACCCGTGTGTCCCAGGTGTCTCACCCATACCTGAGAGAAGCCAGGGTGGCTGGACTCGAGCGAGGCTACAAATGGGTCCACAGTGGCTCAGCTTCCCTCGAAATCCTCTCAGGTGCAGGGCCTTTGCACGTCCTGCTCCTGTGCTGGAGGGCTCCTCTCGCCTCCTGCTACAACCTCCCCCATAGTTAATGCCCCCCAACCAGCCTAGCCTTGTGCTGCTGTGCTAACCAGCAGCTCTTTACAGAGGGCCTGCTGTGTGCGTGGCACTGCCCAGTGCCTGGCACCACACTTGGCGCTGGGGATACGGCAGACCCAGCGAGGACGGACACTCAGTGTGTGTCCTTAGGGGCGTAATCTGATAGGGGAGGCAGTTGGTATTTAAATGGCCACACAAACAGGAGTCTGCTTATCCAGGGGACCAGCGTTCCCTCGTCTTTGCTAATCAGACTCCCCCACCAGACT